CTGTGACCCCAAAATCAAGCCAAGTTAATGTCATGCCGTCGACAAGTATTCGTCATGGCTTCATAGCTGTGCATGTGTGTGATTATATGTATACTATATCTATGTGTATGTGTGTGTGTGTGTGTGTGTTGTGGCGGTCGTTGATTTTCATATGCTGGCTTAGTTGTTGTTGCTGTGCCTTGCCGCGGAAAATCCAAGCAAGGTCAGTTTTATTAATTGCCAAGCCAAGCGATTTTACCTGCGCATATTTACAGCCAATTAACGCCAATCTGGCAAACACTTTCCTGTATTACAGCAACAATAACGGCAACGTGGGATAATGGCGACAGCTGTGTGGAAACAATTGGGTTGGCCAAAACTGAAAGCAAGTGGCAAGACAATTGCGACAAGTTTTGCATACCACAGCGCCCTATTTTGTTGCACGCATTCCAGTTTCATTTTCTTTCCCATTTTTTTCTTCTTTTTGTTCATATTTATTCTGCACGTGTGTCCCGCAAACTGACAAACACTAATTGACACGAATTCCACGTAACAAACAAACAAACAAACACAATAAAAAATAACAATTTTTGCGCTACATGCATACATACTTATGAAAAATGTAAGAGGCACACGAATTTGGCCAACTCTCCCGGACAGAAAGCTGGCGACGACGACGACGACGACAACGACGACGACGACGACGACGACGACGACGACAACGACTCCGATGCCGATGCCGACGGAGACGGCGACAACACACCCACATCTTTGGCTCATGGCGCCGCACAGACCTTTTGTAGACTAAGCCAAGCTCAATTCACAAGTTGAATGACATAAATTCAACGGTAAATTATTCCCAGCACGTTTATGAGTGTGTACGACTATCTGTGTGAGTCTCAGTTGTGTACTAAACCACAAAGTACACTATACTTACAGAAGAACCAATTCTACAATTGACTTTTTCGAAAATAGCCACATTTTTTGCAGCTCTTAGCATTACAAAATAGGAGAGATCATTACAAACTAGGTTTTCAGTTATGAACAGCGATATATAGCAATACCCATCCAAGTAGCACGTTTTTTAAATTTTGTTTTCTTTGAAGTAGAAATCACCAAACTTGGTATGCAAATTCACTTCAGCCAGAGGAAGGGAAAGTGACTTACTAATAAAATAAAAAATAAACGATTTTCAATAATTGTTTGAAGTGGATTCACTTACTACACATGCTCGTATATATTTGGCATTGCACTCGTTTTGGGTATCAAATTTTATACATTTGTTATTACTCTATTTAATTTTGTTTATTTATCGCCAAAACTTGTTGCCAGCTATCTGCCCGGAAATATAAAAACTGTCAATGGCAGCTGGGCGCTTGAGGATAGATAGAAAATGGCTCCATTTTCTAATATATTGATGAAGCTTAAGTCTTGAGCATACATAAAACAGCCGATCGATTGAACTTGGTTTTATTGGTGAAACGGAAAGTAGTAAGCAATTTTTTGTTGTTTGGTTTGCGATTTAAGACTCTGTTGCTGAATTGGAAGCCAATGTCGGATACCTAATCCCAAGCCACCGCACAACATTTGCTCTTTTAATGCAATTTTATAACCATTTGTATGTAGAGAATTAAGTTGAATGATTATGAACTGATACCAAACAGCCTTGTTATTATTATTTAATAAAATTGAAATAGAATATATAATTTGCCTTTAGCTGCCATAAGTAATTGTAACTCTTGTTTATATATAAATAACTATAAAATATTGAATAAATAGTGTAATGAAGTCGTACAAATATGTATTTTTTTAAACTTTTGAATCATTATGTTTTAAAGCCAACTATAAATATTCAAATATTCATTTTTTCTCCGAGTGCACACATCAGGTTATGTTCTATGTCAGCACAATTGCTGCTGCTTCTTCTGTTCTGATTAGTTGGCAGACACGCATTCAAAGTCAAAGTGAAATGAAGTTCTTTTTTACGGCCAGATTTAAGTCTATAAAAGTCACGAACTGTGCACATACTTTCTTCTAATTATGCAGTAAAGGCGTGTGTGTGTGTTCTGCTTTTTATGTGTTAATTAAATTAAAATAAGAAGTAAATTAACTTGCCATGTACCTTGGCTATCAATGTGCACATTTTTCATGGTCGCAACTTTTATGGGGCCTCCACGCCACTCGGACCTTTCAACAGCACAGCTTGTTCTACATATGCCAGACAATTTGAATTTGAAATTTCTTTTTCATTGGCCCATCTATTGCAGACACTTGCGCTGCGGGGCAATTGTTGTGGCTCGTTAACTTTTCTCATAGGGTTTGGCGAGGGTTTTCCCTCCACTAGCTGGCTTAGTCAGTTACCGGCTTGGATGAGAGATGGGACTGTATTATTACATTTATGGCTCATCGTAAATGCTCAAGTGCTGATTTCATCGACTAAATCGACTGCCAGTCAAAGCATTCGATTGTGGCCGCAGTCGGGCCTCAGTAGTCAGTGAAGCTCAATTAAAGGCCATGAATCATACTTTTGAGTTAGCATTAAGCGCCTGGGCCCAAGTGGGCGCTGCAAGGCAAGAGCCGATAGCTCCAAGAACCAGAACTACGACCAATAGCAGCAGCCACACCTTTTATAGCTAGCTCAGAGCACTCTACCCAGCAATAATCTGTACAAAAATATTTCGAGGCCCCACACACCTCATCGCCCGCTGGGACCCAGCAGGCAGAACGAAATAACAGAAACAGCAGCAATGGCTGACATGATTTTCAATCAATTGTCGACGACGGCAAAGTTGCCGCGCATGTGACTTTGTCTAGCCTTCAAGTTCTTTGTTCGGTCGAGTTCGTGTCTTAAGTCTTTCGTTTCAAATACTCGAACTTTGAATGGAAATTGTTTCTGCATTGGTATTGGAATCGCTATTGGTATCGGTATTTCTATGAATTGAAGTGCAAGTCAAGCGCGGCATGATCTGATGACGGCTCAAGAACAGAACAGAACATTTTTTTTTCGGGCAAGAACTCAACGCTCTCGGGCACCGTTAGCTGTTATTATAATATACTGTTAACTAATTTACACGCACAAGCTCCCCAAAAGAAAATAACAACAAGTCACCCTACAACAACAATAACAACAACCATTACAAAAACACAAGCTGCAAAAGCAACAACAGTTCAACAACAACAATAAATCGCCGCTGATAGCAAACATTTTCAATGAACGGGGCAGCATTTAACGATCAAGCTGTTAACGGTTTTTACAAAGTAATTAGGTTTGAGTAATTTGAGAAATTGAATCTGAGACCATTTGCATGTGACGAACGAAGGCAGTTCTAATGATTTATGGGCTGAGAACGCTACCTAATGGCTAGCCAGTGAGCCTAAATAGTCAGACGGTGATCAACCGACAACAACCAACAAATAATTTCTCAACGAACATTTTTGAAAGTGATTGTACACCAACTGGAGTGACAGCCGCATCCAAATGACCAAATGACCAAATGAATGAATGACTGTGAAAGTAAACTTTTACGCGCGCACGCGTCGCTTGCTAATTCCTCAACAATTCGTCAAACAGACGGAAATTATTTGAAGCCATCGAAACTAGATAGCTAAAAATTCCATAGCATAGCTTAACTTTTGAAAACAATCAAACCGAAGGTATTTGCATCATGAGTTATAGATGAAATAAAATACATTTTTTGTTTTTAATTATTTTAAATCAATGAGTTTTATTGTGTTAGTTTTTGTTTTGTATACTGAGGGCGAAGTCGCTTTTAGAAATTAAAGTTGCGCAAAGACGCTTATAAAAATGCAAAAATGGCGATGCAGAAGATGGTCGGTACTACTATTTATATTTGCGTCACTCGAATCTTGTATAAATCAACTTTTTTTATGTGGCAATTGGCTTCGAGTTATAGACGTTCGGCAATATTCTGATGAAATATTCATTAGGATGCAGGCCATATAGGCACTTAGCAGCGTTCGTTTTGGCATGGAAATCATCGGCGTCATACTCCAAAGTCAATAAGCAAGGCAGACCACAAATATTTAGAGACAGAGGAAATGCCAAGCCGCAGCTGAAGTGAAAGAAAACAAACACAATAAGTTGGGCGAGCTAGCAACTTGGCCAGCCAGACAAAGATGCGGCCAAACAAACAAACAAACAGAAACTTGTATCTTTAAGATACACACTCGCACACACACACATAGTGGCTTGGATATGGACATGCCACTTGGCTATGGTGGCTGCTGTTGCTTTTGCTGTTGCTGTTGCTGCTGAGCGCCCTAGCCAAAGAACTTTGAGCATGAAGACAAGACAAGACCAGAAAAAACAAAGTGGAAGTAGTGGAAATGGTGGAAGTAAGAAAGACAGATAGAACAGCAGTGTTGTTGTAATGTTGCTAGACAACAACAACAAAACTGGCTTGTGGGATCTTTGACCTACGATGGCGACGACCGAGCGAGCTGGTATGCTGGCGAGCTAGCAAGCTGGCGAGAGAACCGACCAACTAAATAGCAAAAATCAACAACGTGGAGCGTCAACAGCGGGCCCGTCAACGCCTCGAGAGCCATCGAGTGTACAGTGTAGATACTTTTGCTGGCCATATACCAGCGCGTATATCTGTATACCACTGTATATACATATATTTATGTGTGTGTTTGTGTGTCTGTGTGGTTCTAAGATACTTGTACTCCACTAAGGTGGCAAGCGACTTGCCTCAACGTATTTTGCCACTTGATGTGTTTAATAAAATTAACAGTAAATACCAGTTGTACAAACTCTAATTAGGCAGGCAGCTGCTGCTATTGTTGTTATATTTATTATTGCTATTGCTATTGTTGTTGCTCTTGTTTTTGTTGTCGAAATGCGTGTCGCCCCGGGCATGTTTTGTAACTCTTTTGGGCCAGACATTTGTTTGGCAAACAAATTGAATTCGTTGCGGACCAATTTTACAATTTCATGCCTTTTAGTATTTCATCGAGGGATATACAATTTATTTTTGTTTGTATCTTTTGGAACTTACCAAGCTATTTTTGTTGTAGTTGTTGTTGTTGCTGTCGTTATAGTTGCTCCGCTACTAGGCGTGTTTTATTGGAGTAATCACTTCTATTCAAGCCATACACACTCAGCACATAAACATGCACACAAACGCGCACGCACACTAGCTGCGTCACTTGTTGTTGGTGTTGTTGTTGCTTTCTTATTGGACAAACTTTACTTTTTAATTTATAATTATATTTGTGACTGCATCAAATGGCGATTATTATGCGAGCAATCTCCAATTTTATTTCACTTCATTAACAAAATTTGCATGCACTTGCCGTATCTATGAAAATTATTGCACATTTGGTGTGTCGCTAGCGCTTCGTTTCATATTTAATTTGCTTTTTTTTTTTGTACACTTAGAATTTTTTAGCGCCGTGCGCAGCCAGCAACGAAAACAGCGCAGCCAACAGCCGAAGCCCAAGTCAACTCTCTCAGTGCTCTGCTCAAACCAAACTGAGCTGAACTTGGCCTCGGACGCCATCTTAGCCTGTTGCTGTTGCTGGAAGTGACGGTAGTGAGCGATTCCAATGCCTTCCAGTCGCTCTCGCTACCACCATCTCTCTATCTCTCTGTTGGTTTGGCCAATTGGAATATGGTTGGCCAAAGGTGCAGTGCAGATGATCGTTTCAGTTGGAACAGCGCGTTGAGTTTGGTTGGACGTGTAGACGCTTGTTTGTTGACTAAGCAGCAGAATTCGTTTGGTAAGGCAGAATATAAATAAATAAAACCATTTTAATGTTGTAGTATAAACTGCATTTCATCTTCTATAAGATGTGACAAAATCTAATTTTTATATGCAAGATATATTTCCAATTCACTATTTTAACTTCAATGCTGATGCTCAGTTAGGTCGTTCTCTCATTTTACAGCAATTCCAAGTGACTCTGGCTTAAACATTTCATAGAGCGTGTGAGACAAAGAGCAGAAGAGCAACAAACCGTTGAACTCAACTGCAGAGCAAGCGGCATTTGTGGTGGATATGAAAATGATAGGCAGCGATTACGTATTGGAAGCACACAACATATTCCACACCACCGAGGCAAGTGCACTGGAATTTGAAGAAGTTCGAGTATGGGGGTGGTTGCAACGTTCTCATTCTCATGCTCTCATTTTGTTTGTTTTGTTTTTTTTCGCTTTTACTCTTTGAACAGGTCGACGGTGGTGGCTGTTTCAATGGAGCCGGTAATTCAGCTCTGGTGCTGAAGGGCGTCAATCTGACCGTACATAGTGGTGAGGTGATGGCAATACTCGGCTCTAAAGGTAAGCAGACAGAACTGACTATGCTAATGAGATAGTAAAATATTTTACTCTCCGCTCCCATAGGCAGTGGGAAGCGGGCCTTGTTGGATGTTATATCACGACGGGCTGATGGTGCCACTCGCGGTCAAGTGCTCCTAAATGGCTCACCACTTACCAGAGCCTTATTTCAGCAGCGCTGCGGCTACGTAACACAGTCCTGCACCTTTGTGCCTGGCCTAACGATAGCCCAGACCTTGCACTACACCCCAACTATTGTGAGTAAATCAAATCGGATGTTGCGATGGGTATTATATCCAACAATCCATTACAGCTCTCGGGCTATTTAAAGAGCTCAAAGGTGCGGCAGGTATTGGCTGACTTGGCTCTTTCCCAAGTTGCGCACAAGCGTGTGGAGTATTTGAACATCAGCGAGGCCAGACGCTTGGCTATAGGCATTCAACTGGTCAGGGATCCAGGTGTGTAGAGGCTGAAACTAAAAACGAGATAAAGCAACTTTGTAATGGCCATATCTTCACAGTCATGCTGCTATTGGATGAGCCTACTCAAGGTCTGGATCCACTCAGTGCATACTTGCTCATTTCCATACTATCCAATACAGCCAAAAAGACGGGATGTGGAATTTTGTTATCATTGGAGAAGCCGCGCTCCGATGTCTTTCCCTTCTTGGATCGAGCACTGTTCTTGTGCCTGGGTGGCGTTGTCTACTCGGGCGGGACGCGTGCCATGTTGGAATATTTTCATGGTATTGGTTTTCCCTGTCCACAACTGGAGAATCCGCTCATGTACTATCTCTGCTTGTCCACGGTGGATCGTCGCAGTCGCGATCGTTTCTTGGAGTCGAGCCAGCAAATTGAAGCGCTTGTAGAGCGTTTTTCCAGGGAGACTCCGATATCGGACGCACCATTGAATAACATGGGCTCAGGAAAGGTGCCACTGGCGTACGGCAAGCCGGGAGAGTTGAAAGTTTGGGTCATGCTCTATCTGTAAGTGTTGAAGATACAGTTTACTTGATGGAAGTATATCTCTTATATTTTAAAATGATTGCAGCAAGCTATTGGCCTCCACTTTCTCGTGTGGAGTTGTTGGCATGAAAACCCTTTTTATGCGCCTCTGTCTTCTGCCTATTGCCATGGGCATTTTATGGGCTTTTTATGCGAACGTGGGAGTAAGTTAATGGAATTTGGAAATTGTATAACAATTGTTTGCTCACTACTAGTGATTTATAGGATGACGCCCACGGCTTCTTCACCAAGAATGGCATGATACTGAACATATTGGGTCTGGCCTATGGCTGTGGCATATTGGTCACCATTTCTTTATGTGAGCTATGAACTTCAATTTATATGTCTTCCTCTGATCTAGAATATTGGTTATATTATAGTTCCGATTTGGCGCAAAAAGTTCTCGCAGGACACGCCTGAGGGTCTTTACTCGGGCACCACACTGTTAATAGCATACAATTCAGTGTCTATACCCTTTTCCCTGGTATCCGCAGTCATAGCCAGCTCCGTCATTTATCCGTGAGTAGCACATCTGTATTACCTAACTTGATAATCAGTCAACAACGTTTATATAAATATTTTCACAGCCTGCTATTGGATGCCAGATATAGCAATAGCACTGTCTTTGCGTATTTATGGGTTGCACTGTGGTCCAGTTTTGTGCTTGCCGAGCAGCTTTCCATAGCCTTTCTGCTGGTGGTTAAAGTACCCTTCAATGCTGCCATCGCCGTAACTTACGTGTTGGTCATCAGCATTGCCTTGGCCAGCGGCACAGTGCGGTAAGCTGTATAAATTGTATTCATGCGTTCACCTGAATTTATTCGTAATTGTACTTTAATTTGCAGCTCCTTTAAGGGTTTGCAGCCATGGCTGCAGGACAACACCAAGGGCACACACACGCGATATGCCTCGTCATTACTGCATAGAATCGCCTTCCAGTCCCGCAAACTAAACTGCATACCAACTGCCTCGGTTATATGTCCAAAGCCGGCGGATTTCATGCATGAGCGCTTGGGCTTGCCAGATCCAGATGTGGGTTACCACTTCAATATTTTTAGCTCTCTAAACCTAATACAATTTTACATTCGTAGGAGACCATTGATGTTGCTGCCTCATGTGCCTTTGCCGTGGGCTTAGCCGCCTTCAACATGCTGCTATATTTGTTTCCCATGCCACGATGTGTGCGACAGAAATTCAAAGACTGAACGCAACATTTCCGGGCTTAATAAGGCATAGGCGTAATGTGCACAAATTCCAATAGTTCTTATTTTTTAATATTTAATCTTAATTTACGTACTCCAAATAAAATATAGATTAACTCATACTTATTAACAACTCTTAAAGCCTTTAACACTAGGCTAAAAAAAGTTATAACTTAATTATAACTGGAACTTGAATGTACCGACAAACAATTCTAAAACATGTGAATTGATTATTTTAATTTTGTGTCTAATTTTAAAACGATTTTCTGAAAGAACGAAACACAATCGAATCGTAACATTGCTGAAGAAAAATACAAACAGCCGGGGAGAACATTTGCTCGAAAGTCGTAGCATACTTTTAGGCTTAACAATTAATAATCGGACATTTCCAATTTGCTTTGCTCCTTTTAAAACAAGAATAGCTGATTCGTGCATGTGATGGAGCAATTGCACACTTTGATTTAAATTTTAAATAATTACCAAGATATATCCATATTATACTTATGGGATTCCTATAAGGTGTCATTTATCTTGAAGTTCAACTTAATAACAATGATTGATCGTTCACTTTTTTTAAGCAACCTATGAAATGAAATAAGTGCTGGCTAAAATCCTACTGAAATCATTTCTTACATGAAGAAATGTATCGAATTTAACTTAGATGGTTATGATAATAAAACAATTGCTTGTATTATTTATATGTTTATCATTTTATTTACAAGAAAACTTATATATAACGAATATGGTTGTAATGAATAGGCTCGAAAATACATTACAAACATTTTTGAATGCATTTACTTTGAATTTCGTCGGCTGCGTCTTCAAATAGTTTTATTTTTTGTCTTGCTTCGATTTAACAATTGTCTAACGACTAAAAATATGTTTGCTTTTATTTAAATAACTAGATACACGCATGGAAATTCATTAGAACGCATCTGATTGCATGAATGTTCGCGAGTGTTTATGGAATTGCTTGTGCGAAATGTGGAGAATTGTAAGGCGGCTCTGATGTGTGATCGTGATAAGGAAGGCAGTTATATATTTATGCTGTTTAAATGTTTATGTTTAAAATACTGTGGCACCTAGTTGCTGATAGAGTATTGGACGACGAAGCGATCTGTGGAACATAACATTGGGGATAAATAGGGTAGTTCGTTTATGCTATGAGTGTATGGGGATTGAAGGTAAATAAAAACGGATTCGTAGTTAGTAAGAGTGCTGTGGTGCTGCTAAGGACTGCTCAGTTCTTGCGCTATTTCACAGAGTTTCAGGACTTAGTCCGTGTCGTAGTACGCGTAGTCGTAGCTGGTGTCCTCATCCGCATGCGCGGGTTTCTTGGGCTTCGACTTTTTCTCATGCTGCTCCTTTTTGCTCTTGGCCGACTTTGAGGGCTTGGGCGCCGCAGTGGTTGTTGTAGTCGTGGTGGTGGTCAAAGGGCGTCTTGTGGTAGTTGTTGTCGTTGTAGTCGTGGTGCTGCTGGTAACGTAGGTGCTGCTGCTGTAGGGTCTGCTCGTTGTCTGGGCTTTAGTGGTGGTGGTGGTGCCGCTAGGACTAGATGGCACAAACCCTGCGTTGGGACTGTACTGGGAGTTGTACTGCTGTGAGGTCTTCTCGGCCTTGTAGATGTCGGCGCGCAGTTTGTTGATGCTAGCCGCTCCAAAATTCAGCGACTGGGCCGTCTTGAAGAGCTCATCTTCATCGCTAAGATCGGCCTGCTCGCGCTCCTTCTGATAGGCAGATTGCTGTTGAGTCTTCAGGTGACTGTGCGCTTGCTGAAAGTTGTGGTTGAACCCATGTGGTTGTCTACTCGAAGATGGCGCGTTGGTGGTGCTTGTTGTGGATGTGCTGGTCGTCGATCTGTTGCGCAAAAACTTAAAGCGATTGCGTGGGAAGTCGTTCTCGTACAGCTCAGGATGATATTGACCGTCGTCCTCGTCGGCATTGTAATAGGGATTGGCAGTAGTTGGTAGCGAAGCGGTGCTTTGTGTCTTCTTCGCCGTGCTCGGGTAATGTGTTGTTCTGGGTGTTTGCTGCGACTGATAGTAGCTCTGTTCGTAAGGCTTCTTGTAGGTGGTGGGCTTGAAAGTTGTGGGCGTGAAAGCATCTCGGGGCGCAAAGGTTGACAGCTTCTTGGCACTGTTAGCCGTAGTGGTAGGATAATAGTACTCATCATCGGCATAGCGTTCAGTTGTCGCTTTATAGGTGATGCTGCCCCGACTGGTGTAACTACGTGGTTTGGCCGCAGGAGCAGTCGCCCCTGTGGTTCCAGTCGTGGCCCCAGATCGCTGCTTGGGCGCACTGAAGGGCGCCGGTTCCTGTGCACCCACACGACTCACTTGCTGGGTACGCGGGCGTTGGTAATGCGGCTCAAGGGGAGCCGGCTTTCTGATGCTGTTTTGCGTTGCCTGAAACGGTTGAGGTTGCTGCAACTTGGCCTTCGGCAGCTCATTGAACTCATTGTGGTTGATGTAATTGGATTCCTGGGGTCCCAGCTTCTTCTTGCGTGCCGCGACGGTGGGCTTATTACGTTTGCTCTCTTTATCGAAGTCCTGTGCATTCTTGCCCGTCACCTTTGTAGAGTCACGTGGCAGTTCCGTATACTTGGAAGTTGCCGTGGTCTTAGAGCGGTAGGCCGCATAGTTGGGATTGAAAGTGGTGGGCTGTATCTTCTCTTGCGTCTGATAGTCATTGAGACCAAAACTGAAGCGACTGGTGATGCTGCTGCCCGGGCGTGTCGTAGTTGCGACTGTGGGGGCGTGGCTGCTGCTAGTTGCCGGCGTTGTCGATTTGTAGTTGGTCGAATAATCCAAGAAGTCTGCGTTGAAGGAGGCGTGCAGTGTTATCTTCTTGCTCGTTGGCCTGGTCACAGGTGAAGCGGTACTGGTAGCAACACTCGTTGCGCTGGAAGTCAGACGTTGGCCACGCGTGGGTGTTATACGTGTTTTAACCGCCTCCGTGGTCTTGCGATTGAAATCGGCCACGTCGTTGGGCTTGGAGCGCGCAGGCTGTTGTTGCTCATCATCGAATTCGCGACCGCCATGACGGTTCGAAAAGAAGTGCGAACTGTGGGAACCTTTGAAGATATCATCGAAGTCTTCTGTTTTGACAAATAAGACAAGAGACAGACGCGTGATTAATTTGTGCGATAAATTTAAAGCGACTATTGTTTGTTATTATTAGTATGGTTGTTGTTCGTGTTTTTGGCTTACGCTTCGAGTCATCGTTGTAGTTATTGTTGTTGTTGTTACTATAGTGGTTGCTGTAGCTGCGCTCGGTTGTCGTTGTCGTGCTCGTCGTTGTTGTTGGCGTGTAATAGCTTGAAATAGGTTTCTTCGACGCTTGCGTGTTGTAATTGTCTGCATTTGAATTTGAATTCGAGTTGGAGTTGGAGTTGGAATGATGCGCATAATTATGTCTGCCATAATTTGTTGCTGCCGACTGCGCGGGGCGTGACTTTTGATCGATGCGGTTGTCCTTGGATCGTCTCACATCGCCTGTAATTATGTATATTTACTTTGGCTCATGTTCGTGGCTATTTGTTATGTTTACACCTGAAACCCGCAAGCTCATATTATTCATTCCACAATGACTTAAAAGAATCGTATAAATAAAATATGTAATTACCCTAACCACAAAAATGATCTTCCATACTGAATTCTGGCTGGTAATAGTTTCTGCAATTCATTTCAATCCGACTAGAGAAACTGATTTCACTTCAAAGGGATTTATATTGGTTTTCTTTTATAATGGAACTGTCTCATCTATTTATTATTTTTCTAAATGCTCTGCTGAAAGATTTCTATAGCAATCAGATAGTTGACACTGTATTAGCTAAGAATTTTAGTAATAGCAACTATTGCTAGAAACCAAAAGGAAATTCCGTGTAATTTGGTGACCCCCAGAAGAAAAGTTTGGTACTAACTGGTAACTACTTTTCTTTCAAAGGTTTCTTCCTTCTACAACATAGGTGTTTATATATTAAGATATTTTAAATAAATATGCATTAGCTTTAAAGGCAAAAAGGTATTGCTCCATAACCCTCCCTGACTAACCACTTTCTGCGCGCTGCAAATGGAATGTGCCCTCCTCTTCGGCCGCATTTGCTGATCCCTTGCTCTCTTCGGCTGCATTACTTCGATATAGATCGTTGAAGTGTTTGTTGTCATAGTACAGTTCCGCCTTGTCGCAGTCCACATCCGCCCAGTTGGCGCAGATTTGCAGCTCCTGGTCGAAGGCCGTGCTGTTCGGACAGAGGAAGCGGTAGTCCTGCACCTGTAGGGCAAACGAATTAACCTTTCGATGTATGAGCTGCATAACCAGACAATATAAAATCCCATGTTATAATTTGATTTAATTAGACGATATTTGATATTTGGTATTTGCAAGCCATGGCAGTTGGCCAAGCGACAGGCACAGCAAGCGGCAAAGACAAATACAGAGGCAAAGAAACTTAAGAAGAAGGCCTCGACGAACTTTGCCATTTTGTGCAGCACAATTGGCAGTACGGCTGGCATTTTCTGATAGTCAGCGATGCAACAGAAGTCGCGATTCTGAGTCAGAATCCCCAGCAGCAGCGTTAATTGAAGTGAACGTTCTATTTTCAAAATCTTTGGCTTTGCTCGTTTGCTGCGGCTGCTGACTTCATTTTGTCCGCAGTAGGCTAATTGACAATTCCAACAGCTCCATGGCTGTCACTTTTGCTTCGATTTCAATTCAATTCTACACACAAACTTACACAGCTTAAAACAAACATAACACAGCAAAAAACACACACACATACACACACACGGACAGACTTGTTCTTGTTTGGAGTTTCGTTTATTTTCCTAAAAAAAAATGGTAAGTGCGCTTCCAATGGTCATACAATTGAACGTTGTTTTCCTTGTTGCTGTATTCGCTTCGTTTAGGCCAAAGTTTATCTCTTTCGCGAAATCGAAGCCCCTGACGATGTGCAGAAGAACGTCTTCGAGGAGGCCGTTGCCAGCGTTGTCGAAAATGTTTTGGGGGGAAACAAAGGCTGCATACTGAACTACGGTGACTGGCGCACATGCCCAGACCTGGACGTAAGTGGCGACGCAGCTCTTATGACCGATCCAAAGAAGGGCAATGCAGTGACACGTATCATCAACGACATATTTACTCATGTGTATACCATGGAACTGACCATGGAAATAAACATATCTATCAGACATATCGAGATAAATATGCAGCAGAGCACGCTAGAGTCGCACGAGACTAGTGCAGAAGTCGATGAGTACATGAGGCTGTTAAGAGCGCAAAAAGAACACTTCGTGTCCACGCCTAGGGATGTGTATGCCTACATGGAGAAGACCATGAAGCGAATTTCGGAGGGTGGGCATTCGGAGGAGCAGGAAAATGATGCAAGCAAAACCAACAACAAAGCAGCACCACTCTCGGGTCACTCGCTCTTCAGCATTCACGTGAAACAAACCAATCTAGAGCAGTCCAAGAAGCTGCACGGCAAGCTTAATCTACTGCACTTTGTGCGGGGCAGCGAGCACCCCACAGCCGATACCTCGATGAGCGCCTTGCTCAAAATAATTAAGGCGCTGGCCAACAACAACAAGACACACATGCGTTACCATAACATACGGCTGACGCGCCTGCTCAAGGAAATATTGGGAAGCGGCGAGACCACGGTGATCATCAACTATACAGCATCGATGGAACCACAGGAGGTGTCAGCGATGGGCGCCAAAACTCCACCAGTAGTGCCCACAAAAGAGGCCAATCTTCCCGCTGAAGTTTGGCGTTCACTCTACCGCCGTGAACGCTACAAGTATCGACGGCTCAAAGAAAAGGTGCTCAACCTGGAGTTCTGGGGCAACAGCGGGGATAAAATGCAGCTGGATGATCTCTTCGAAGGTATAGAGGACCGTAGCAGTAGCAATACAGAGCTGAACGCCAGCGAAGGTGGTAGAGATAGCGGTAGCGACTTGAATCGATCGCGACTAGCGCTGGAGATCGACAAGCTCTATGGCAAGCTGGACGAGAAGCAGGTTGAGCTGGAGCGCAACTATGAGCTGTGTCAGCGCATTGGGAAGCGCTGTGAGGTGCACAGTCAGCTGTTTAGGGAGCAGCACAGCCTGCAGGACGAAATGCATCAAATTAAGGTAGAGGCCGAGCTCACCATTGACGAACTCATGGACCTTCAGCAGATTATGGATCAGCTGTCGCAACACCACGATCAAAGTACCCAGCAGCTCGAACGCAAGAATGAAATGCTTCAACGGCTCACACAGCTTCTCGAAAAGGCCAACGATGAGCTGCGTCAGCAGAAATGCGACTTTCGCATCAAACTTAATGAATATTCGGACATGTTCAGCAAACTCTGGCGTCAACAGGCTCTTGCCATGCAGGCTCAAGAGGAGCAGCGAGAGGAACAGCTTTCCGAAATGTTCGACACTATCTGCAAGGAGCTGCACAATTCTCACCAAACTCAACTGACCAAGCTGAAGCAGCAGGCGGAGCAGAAGGAGCGCCAGCTCCAGGCTCTCCACCAACAACATCTGCAGCTAGTGGAGACGGCCAAACAGCAGCAGCGCCAATACACTAAGGAGAATGCCCAAGCGTGTGGTGATGATGTGCAGCCCTCGTAGAAATTCAAATTGTGAATTGTGGCAAGCGGAGATGAAAAAAAAACATGTAATAAAAGAAGTCCATACATACACACGACACAGGCACTTCACGCTTAAAGGTCAGCTAGCTACGTATGCCGTGATCGCTTCTTCTTCTTCTTTCTGTAGCCTGCCAACAAGCCAGTCACGAAGCACACACACATACATGCATAGTCGTTGGCAACTTTGCCATTTAGCGGGCTGGGTAGTTGGCTGGTTAGCTAGTTGGCTGGCAAGATGCTTAAATGGTTTTGCGTCTGCAAGTTCGTTGCCCAAGTCTTTCGTTTAGCTTGCTTGCGATCTGCCTTCGGCCACTTCAACTGTCGCACACTTACCCCCAATCCCGGCAGCTTCACGCACACATGGAACATCTGGCATTGGGTCTCTGGATCTGCATAATAGCCGCCGAGTATTTTGTCGTGGCAAGTGAACTGCGTCTTGGGCATATTCTGTAGACTGTACGTGGGCCAAGGCTTGTTGGATACCTCCTCGTCGTCAAGACGCTGTGCCTGACCTAGAATGCTGCCCCACAGTGTCGCCGTCATCGTTGCTGCAAATTAAAGCAGAAAAGCACAAAAATTATGTTAGTCAGTTAGTATTTTTTATTTATTTCTTACAACTACGAATTCAGACTCAAGTGGATGCTGTCCAGTTGACCTTCACGATGCTGCTCACATATCTATAGCCGGACAGCATCACATATTTCACTTTCGCTTACAAGCGTCGCACAACACCGAGTACTACGACTAATGCGTATGTAAGTATGAACGATGAATAGCAAAAAAAAAACACGGGCATGATTTATGTACACTTGCTGCCTCTTGTGGTGGACACCTGAAGGCTGACCATTTGGCGTCAAGTGCGGGCCTTAAGTACCGCCAAGCAGTTCTACTGAGCGATGTATTGATTACATTTTTACTTGCATGTACATAGCTATACATCTTTTATTTATTAAAAACCCATTTTCGAGTGAGCATCATTAACAATATGAACATGATTTCAAGGAAACAAAGCACGAAGTTCCCACAGATCGATCAGTCAGCCAGTCAGTCAGTCATTCAGTCATTCAGTCATTCAGTCATTCAGAAAGACAAAAAGCCCCGCGGGTGAAATATGAGCCAACCAATAAGCATGCATGTGGCTCATAAGTGTCAGTTATCTCAATACAAATGCCAAATTAGCCAACTACAAATGTATCTCTGGCACTGGGGTCAGCCAATTAAAATGCCAAGTCAATCAAAGCCATGGATTTTGTTGCCTTTTTCGGCACAAAAAAGAAAAGAAACACATACACATATCGCTACTGCTACCATTAATGGCTTGAACTGCTAATTACCATGGCTAGTCGAGTGCGGCTTGTTCTTACAAAACCCAAGCGGAAGATGCCCCGCAATTAATGCCGTTGCAGAACAAATAGTAACAACTACGAGTATAGCAATGGGGGCCGCATACTCAGACACAAATTGCAGTCGTCGTATTATGCAATTGACGTCGGAGTATAGTCGTAGTCGTCCAAGTCATTCATCATGCGCTGCCCCGCCGATAAAGGGAAAAATAAAAACAAAGCAAACAAAACGCCAGACAGGCAGGCAGACATTAGTGATCAGACAACAAACGAAAAGAAAGACGTGCAAGAAATTCGCATTTAATTCAAATGAATTTCAATTTCATCTTTTTTCCCAATCGCTGGTCAGGGGGAAGTGAACTATGACTGAGCAAGTTGGGACGCCTTTGTCTTTGTCTTTGTTGCCTGATTTTCGACTTTTATAGCATAAGCGGTATTGTTTTATTTTCGGTAACCCAAGCAGGTCGCTCACGGCTTTGTTTGTTCAGTAACCAAGCATTTGTAATCGGCAGCATTGCCGAACAATTAGTCAAGTGTAGCCCAGGCAGGTAAGCCCATCTAACGAGCTGCGTATTTTATAATATAGTTGTTATGCATATGCGCCACTGGCTGCCTTTCAGCTAATTGTCCGCTGCCGTTTAAACAATTTCTCAGCCTGATATTAAGCTTTATTTTAATTTTGCCACAGGCTCATCGCTGGATTCGTAACTAATTGCTACTGAAGGTTGATATAAGCTCAACATTTTGCATGTAACATCGCTTATATAGTACTTATGGATGTGTATGCATAGATATTGGTGTTATTTCTCTCACATATTTATTGGCTTATGAGCTTTATGCTGGCAAGGCCCTTGGGCCAATGCAAAATTTCAAATTTCGAACGATTTGATGAGTTGTTAAAAAAGCAACAAATAGTAATGGCCAAACACATTTGCTTGAAATGAAATGACGTTTTGTTACACGCTTTTTTTTTATTAATATCAAATAAAGTTGCCCGAAGGGCAGGTGAAGGCTTCAGTGGCAAGGAAAGTGATGATTCAAATACAGAAGTGAATGAATAGGGAATGAGTTGGCTTTTACTAACGATGCCTACATTGTGGTGGTCATAATGCCGTAAGTTAAATAACAGAAATGCAAAAGGTGAGCGTAGGTGTTACTCCAAAACCACCCAGTTCTCACATTTTAATTACAGAAGGTATTTTGCATACATATGTGTTTGTACAATTAAATAAGCAACATTTTATGGTGTTCCCTTTCTCTGTGTTCATTCGAGACATTTTGAAATTGCTATCGTTTTTCAATCTTTGCCAGAGATATTTGTGATTATGCAATCTGCCTTTATTAGGTTCCGAAATTAGGGAATTCAATTTTTAAATAAAAATGTATTATTGATTTTAATTGAAAATGGAATCAGAAGGAGCCAAAATATGAACACTGCCGAAGTATTTGGAAAGCGCATGTTTAAATAAATGTTGTTACATATTCCTCTTTTACTATATATTTTAAATTAGTATTCGACTGTTAGATTAGTCAATGATTTTGTGTTCTAGATTTTCATCTTAAATACATGTAAAATAGTTTATTTCTATTATTTAACCAACGGCATAAAACAGTCGTTTTATATCTTGTTCGATGGATATTTATATATATTATATTATTATTAAAAACTGTATGCTATTTTAACTGAAATTTGAATAATCGAATCATTTATTCAGTTTTATTTATCATATATCAGAAGACTTTTTTTTTGAATACCTTATTCAGAATTGTTGTTTTAATATTCTTATATTAATGCTAAAAAGTCTCTAATATGGATAATAAATAAAATGAAGACGTTCTATTTCGTCTTTTGTTCTTTTCGTCTTATGTTTCAAATAAAAGCACTATTTGTCTATTCATGTGTCTATCGCCTGTGAAAAACATATTAACTATATCATGGAATCCACCATAATAACCAACATATAATGATATATTTAAAGCATTTAACATAGTCTTCAAAGATAATGAAAATAGCCTGATTTATGAAACTCATTCATTAGCTTGAATTGTACAATATTGTTAGTAACTCCTGTCTTCTGCTTGAAAAACTTACCCAAAATAAAAGCGCATATTTTATAATTAATGCACGACATGGTGCTGCTAATGATCTGTAATCCAAATATAATAAATTCGTGTATATCCAATTGTAATCCAAAGGGCTTAAACTGCTATGTTGGTACTTGTAGTAGATATGTTGATTTCATATGGAATGCACTGAAACAGACACAATAATAACACCGAAAAGTGTGCGCATAAGTATTTAACACAATACGAATATGTTTTCATTAAATTTAACTCGAATTCAGCGAGCGAATCATTTTTCATTATCTACGAAAAATGTTTGTCATGCTGTGAAATTGAATGGGCCAAGTCCGAAGTGGTGGCCCCCATGTGGAAAATGAGCAAACAAGCCGAAAACAACAGAACCGAATACAACACTTTTATCGTGTCAGGTATGCGAGTATGTATGTAAATGCGTATGAATTTGTTTCGCAAGGTGCGAAAACTACGGAAAACCATTTAGAATGTGCAGCGAAACGTTGAGAGACATCAAAGATGCACAGCACAAAGTTTACATTGTCCGTCTTCTTCACTTGACTTGGCACAGCACCACACCGCACTGCACACACACACACACACACACAAACATACAGACACAAACACACAGGCACCACTCAGAGTTGGGCTGAGCTCGAGTTGTAGGAGGAAACTTTTGGTACGAACCGCACGAGAGACGAGCAAGCGAGGCGAACTCTGCGATGCGCGTTTTGCGACTTTATCGTTTACGTTGTCGAAGCGAAATGATTTCTGAAAGCGAAAGGAAAAACCACTTGGGCCCATCAGCAGCAGCAGCAGTGGCAACTGCGGCAGCGCGCCAGCTGAGGCAGCGACTGTGGCAGCGACTGGTGCTGTTATTGTCGCTTGCAATTACCCGCAGATTCAAGGCAGCAAAGAAGCTCGCTGGTATCGTCTACAGGTCGTATGCTTAACGCACATTACGCATACGCCGCGTGTGACACTTGCTGTGGTTATTGGTGGCAAGCATTGTTGAACTGTCTGACAGGCGGCAGCATCTATCATCACTTACGTCACTCACACATACGAGTATGTGCACTCACACAGAAAAAAGTGCAATAGAAGAAAAGCATAATTCTTCTTCAAATTTCCAGTGCATCGAACATTTCTATACTTGTAGTATTATAGATGTTTTCTTATACTTAATTATGAAATAAATATTTATTTTAAAAATGAATGAAATAGTTTTTTTTATTATTTTTTATCTTCTAATTACTTTGCACATTTTTAGACTAAAATAAAAGGAGAGTATATATTGAAATCTCTTACTTCCTGACACCCTGAACTCCGACTTGTTTTTTCGATTGCAAATAATTTTGCGCTATATGATTTTTTCGATATAGTATAATGCATGGATCTAAGAAGGTATAAGGGCCGGACTTCATAGCTTTAGTTTTTATTATTACCCTCAAGAGCATTGGTTAAGTTATGATAACAACCAATGTTTTTTTTTTTTTTCTATGCAGATAGGGAATCAGCGATTGTTATGGAAAGAACCCACATTTATTTTTCGGTCGTTTTGAAAAGTTGTGAATAATTTGGAACCTCAATAGGATCTTGAACTGTGTTATTGTTTTTTTCTGTGCATGTCTGTTGGCCGCAGGCTAGCACCCGCCTCTGATTATGGGCATTCGACCGCACTCCCACCGCAACTCGCTTGCAATTACAATTACGAATATGTTGAAGCGTTGCTGGTTGCTGGTTGCATCTTCCGTTGGTTGTTGCCAGTTGCTAGTCGGCAGTTGGCAGTTGGCGTTGTGGTATTATGTCATACCACGGCACGGTGTCATTTGCTGTCGTTGTCGTTGTTGTTGCTATTGTAGTTGTAGTTGGCGGTGCCTCTGCGGGCCAAAAGTCGCGCGCGGTCGTCGATGGCGATGCCAACGCCAACGATGCTACCATACCGGTTCGTATATATGGGTGAGTATGCCGTGTGGCTGCCGCTTCTGTGGCTGGGTTTGGGAATGTGCGGCATTTGCTGTATGGCTGGCAAGCTAGCCTAGCTGCCTGGCCTGGCCTGGCCTGCACTGTTGTGTGCAGTGTGGGAATTTGCACGCCTGTACCGCTGAGAGTGTGCGGCAGCCT